CTGCTTTTATATTTTCTTAGAAGAATATCCAGTCATATAATTAACGTATTGTTTAGGTCCCGTTGCCTGCGCGTGAGCTATCATAAGAAAGAGAGTAAAAGAAAAAGAGTCAGTGAGAGAGAGAGAGGTGTTGGTGGTGGGGGTGACACCCTTTTGCAACAAACCTGCCCACTGTAACAAAGCCGTGATGTTGCGCTGTGTGGGGATAAATTACTTCGCCTGGTGTTGTGGGGCTCCAAAGCATGAGCAGGCTGCGGACAGAGAGGACGGATCTCCCACACAAGCTGCTGCACTGCCTGTGGATGCACAGTAGGCTCCTCACAGTCTGTTACTTTAAATCAGGCTGTGTGTGAGAGATATGCGCTAACCGGACTCTCTTTTTTTTGGAATGATTATTTTATTTGTCGAGGTTCTAGTGCTGTCCTTCGGCTCACAGAGAAACGTGTTTGATTTTTTATTATTATTATTATTTTAAAGAATATATATATATATATTTTGAATCAGGCGCATTCAATATTTTGGAAAAATTCTAAAATATAATATTTTGCCATGAGGGAAAATACTAGGTATTTAATTATGCATTTTTTCTACCCCATTTAATTGGGGTATCATATTTCAAGCCTTTAATCTGCAAACATATGCATTTAACAATGATTTTATGTCTTGCCTGCAGCATGTCTATCATGGATGTGACAGTGGAGGGAGTGAGCCCAGCAACTCCGAGGGCTCTGTTAGTGACATGCATGACTCTGCTGGTGTCCCTGCACCTGTTTCGGTGGCTGTGTCGGCAGCGGTCCCATTCCTGGCCGCCCGGCCCCCTCGCCTGGCCGGTCATCGGGAACGCACCGCAGCTTGGTAACGCACCGCACTTGTATTTTACGCGCATGGTGAAAAAATACGGCGACGTCTTCCAGATCAAGCTCGGCAGTCGGACGGTGGTGGTGCTGAACGGGGGGTCAATCAAACAGGCGCTGGTCAAGCAGGGCTCCCACTTCTCCGGCAGACCGGACTTCACCTCCTTCCAGTATATCTCCAGTGGGAACAGCATGGCGTTTGGCAACTCCACGGGCTGGTGGAAGATGCACCGCAAAGTGGCCCAGTCCACAGTCCGGATGTTTTCCACAGGAAACCCCCAAACTAAGAAGACATTTGAAAATCACGTGCTCAGCGAGGGCAAAGAGCTGCTGCGGCTGTTTCTGAGGAAAACGAAGGAGGACAAATACTTCCAGCCCCTGACCTACGTCGTGGTGTCCACTGCCAATATAATGAGCGCGGTTTGCTTTGGGAAGAGGTACTCCCATGAAGATGAGGAGTTTCAGCAGGTGGTGGGCAGGAACGACCAGTTCACCAAGACTGTAGGCGCAGGGAGCATAGTGGACGTTATGCCCTGGCTGCAGTACTTCCCCAACCCCATCAAAACCATCTTTGAAAATTTTAAGAAGCTCAACCTGGAGTTTAGTGAATTCATTCGAGATAAAGTTGTGGAGCACAGAAAAACAATCGATTCAAGCACCATCAGAGACATGACTGATGCCTTTATAGTGACGCTGGACCAAATACGAGATAAGATGGGACTTTCTGAGAAAGACTATGTGTCCTCCACAGTCGGGGATGTGTTTGGAGCAAGTCAAGACACACTGTCGACTGCCCTACAGTGGATCATCCTCATTCTTGTCAAGTAAGATTTTTTTTATCATATTAAAGAATGATTTTATAGAAGGAGTTATTTATATGGATAAATAACTGCATGATAAATGACAGTTTATCTTCAACTTGTTGCTAAGGCTCTGCAGAATTGATGAAGTTTAGCTGCATTTGAGTTATGTAACAGCCCACTGGAGGTGTGTGTGTGTATGTGTGTGTACTTGTACTGGCAGTAATAAGCTGAAACTTCACACCACAATGAAAGAGAACAAAATGCCCAGTCAGCGTTTTAAAATCTTTAGTGCCATTTAATCTGTCCTGTGCCTGATACCTTTATCAGTGGATGCCTGGATTACAGAGCCACTATTTTTTTTTCTGCTTGAGTTGTGGCAAGGACTACTCGTGTCTATGGACTATCTAACATGATCCATTTAAGCTGTTAACATCCTACAGGTCACCAGTCATGCATCTAGGTGTAGGCAGTTAAATTAAACCTCATTTTAGTTGGGGGTGGGGGGGTGGGGGGGTTAACGGCAGAAACCATTTTCTAACGAAAAAGATTCTTCATTCCACTTTTTTCACCAGCAAGAGTGTTTAACTTCTATGCTGGCAGTAGTCACCTTAAATGTGTGTTCACCTGTGATTGCAGGTATCCAGAGATACAGGTGCGTCTCCAGCAGGAGGTGGACAAAGTGGTGGACCGGAGCCGTGTCCCTGCTATCGAGGACCAGCAGCAGCTGCCTTATGTCATGTCCTTCATCTACGAGGTGATGCGCTTCACAAGTTTCGTCCCTCTCACCATCCCCCACTCCACCACCACAGACACATCCATCATGGGCTACACCATACCAAAGAACACAGTCATCTTCATCAACCAGTGGTCCGTCAACCATGACCCAAGCAATTGGTCCCAACCAGATATCTTTGACCCAGAGCGCTTCCTGGACCAGAGCGGAATGCTGAATAAAGACTTGACCAGCAACGTGCTCCTCTTCTCCCTGGGCAAGCGGCGGTGCATCGGCGAGGAGCTGTCCAAGATGCAGCTGTTCCTGCTCACAGCTCTCATAGCGCACCAGTGCAACTTCACAGCCGACCCTGCAGTGCCGGTGAAACTGGGCTACAGCTATGGCCTGACTCTGAAGCCTCACCCTTTCTCTGTAGCCGTGTCTGTGCGCGATGATATGAAGTTGCTGGAAGCAGCTACCAGTCAGCCCTCATCAGACTCACAAACAAAAGAATAAATTAGATTCAAACTGTAAGGTGCTAAAAGACATGAAGGCAGAGGAAAACGTAGAAACTTTAGCTTTTGTTTGAGGCTGAGCACCATATTTAATGTCTGGAAATCTCAGGCCACTGCTTCTGCTTTTTGATCTCATATACACTGTTTAAAATGTTTCATGTACCAGAGTCGAGACTGATTTAACAGCCTTTGATTACTGACTTATTCTAATCAGGGCCAGAAAGAAATAGTAAAATGGTATCCAAATCAAAGAAGATGTACATCTTGTAAACGCCATCTCACCTGGATCAATCTCACATCTAACTTCAAAAACAGTCTCACATGCCAGCCAGCAATTAGGCACACTCCTTTGATTCATCAGATTAGAGGACTGCAGCACATCGCCAGCTGTGAACGGGACTTTCAAAGCAAGTCACACTGTGGTTACCTGAGTTCCAATTTACCGAAAAGCAGAAAGTTAAAGCTGTCAGTTAATTTGTTTTATTGTTGTTGTTTTTTTGCTGTTCTTTTGTGCTGTCAGTTAAAAGAAAACCAAAAAAAACAAAAAACAAACCCCAACAAAAAACAAAATATGATTTTCAGGAAGCTCTTAAATTCTCTTTCTCTCTGTATTCTTTGTGTTTGTGTTTATTTTCCTAATTAGGGCTCCAAACCCTTTCCAGTGCAATATCGAACTTGTAAAAGCAAAAATACGTGACATTTGAAGGTAAGCACTAAAGATTGGAGTTAATCCATTTTTGTGTGACCAAACAGAAAGTGCCAAGATCAGACATCTTGCCAATAAATAAGCTAATAGCCGAGCCTAAAGCTTCATATCTGCTAATATATTAAATACCTGACTAACACGTAGTTGTTGTTGTTTTAATATAAGGTATATATGTGTAGATGTGAATAAGGCTGATAAAAGCCAAATAGTACCTTTTAAGTGCTGATGTGATACATCTATATTCTGAAACCTGTTGTAGATGCTGTTTTAAAGAACGAGGCAGAGGAAAACAAGGAGTACCCCGAGCAGACATGCTGAAGGGAACACTTGTCTCTTCTTGCTGCCCAGTTCATGTATGAGAAAGTTAATAAAGCTAATATTAGATCAGTGTTGAATTAGGGATTTGCTTCTCCTTTTGTTTAAATTTCAGTAATGAACCGAACCAGTTATGTCCTCTTTTGATTTCCACACTCATGTTGCCAGTAACCAAATTTCTTTTACCTTTTACTTTTTTTTAATCCTATTTTTCTGTTACAGAAATGCTGATGAAATTGGCTTTGAGACAATACAAGTACTTTGTTAATTTTGTTTATAGACTCATCTAATTGCTGTGTGAGCACTGGAGACTAATAGACTGACTGTAAAGTCTTGGATTTGAGCATTTGTTGGCTTGCTGCTGATGCATTTGAATGAAATTCTGGCTAAAAAACCAACCGATTTTAGGTGTTAATGCATTTACAGCAGGCGGAAAAGCACGATGTCTGTGGACTTGTTCCACTGATGCTGTATTTCGCTTGATGAGATCAGAAAAAGTTGTATTGAAGATTAAAGCCGAAAGCATGACGAAAGTCAAGAAATACCTCAAATCCAACAATTTACATTACCTTTACCTCAAATGCGTTTTTTAATAGAAATATATACATTTGTGTAGATTTTTGGCACAAACAAGACATTTAACTCTGCTTAATGTAACAATACAGTGCTTTATGCTTCTGAGTACACAATGCTGCAGCTGTGATGTTATCTTGAGTTAGTCTGTAATGAGATTGTACAGTTGTATAATAAAAAGATTTCTTTTTGTTTTTCACATTTGTAGTTGGCTCTGTTGTAATCAACTTAAAGGGAGAAATGATTACATTTAAAAATCTGTATTTAAAGCTCATAAATCCGACCTGATTAATAAATCACTCTGAAAGTGAAGGACCCTTCGCCGGGTATCATGTCAGGTGGGAACAAAGTAGAAGTGTTGGCGAGGTGCCTTTCCCTTCTCAGCATTTTATCTCACTCTGTCAGAACATCCTGTTCTTGATCAGCTGGATGATTATAGAAAGCTAGCCAGTGCACGGCCAGTTCAGACAGTAGTTGACTACTGATATGCCGTTCTCCACGCAACCCTTTGTCCATTTCTAATAATACAAAGTGAAATCTGAAGACTAAATAGTGCCAGTGAAGTCATGTGTGGCAATGCTCCAAGCATAATCTTTATGAATGGGAAGGAAAACAGTGGGCTTTCTTCAGCTGAAATGAGAAGACAGATGATAAATGAGTTAAAAAAGAGCAAAGAAGCGGACAATATTGTGGTTAATGCACCCAGTGCAGCTGCACAGCAACTTCAGGTATAACTGCAGGGACGGGACAAAAGCAGTAACCCACTGAAGGTTGATATCGTCTGTCGCCTTGCATTTCAGGAAGCTGCAGAAGGAAGCAAATATTCTTCTGTAGAGTAGCAGAGAGTGAAACATACAGACAAAGTGCATGGTGACTGAATGAAGGTGACGAGAAATATCATGCCTTGCACAGATGGGCGCGTGCTCTATACAAGCTTGGTGTGCACAAACCATAATAAGAAGGGCTGTGGTGGTTTTATCCTGCTAAGAAATTCAAAATATTGCAAGAAGTGGCGCTAAGACGCATCCTATGTCATTACAGCTTAGACCTGTCAAGGCTGCATTAACAAGATTAGCATGAAAGCTTGTATCCTTCATTGGCTGAAGATAAAGCACGTACACATGCGGCCCATTCACACAAGATCCATCTGCTGTTGACTGCAAGTTGTGTAACTTAGACATAGCTGAGCTTAGATTGTGAATGGAGGGATATACGGAGATCTGAATGAATGTGAGTGAGATTAAAACTGATGTGGTATTCAGACAGAAGGCAGCCAAACTGTTGAAGCCCGCTGCTAGGAATGGTGTGATAGAACTGTAATGACACTGCACGGTTAAGTTAAAATGATCTTAACCGAGCAAGTTATCGGCAGGCTATGAGCAGCAGGGGTCAAAACCTTCATAAAGGGGTTAAGTTGAGATCAAGACAAGATCAGATTGGTCAAGATATAAAGACACGAACAGAGATCAGTAGGAAGTATGAAAACAATTTTGAAAATTTTGAAGAAGGTGATACCTGCAGTGTTATATAAATGCGGTCCTCTCTTGTGGAGGGACACCTGATTTGAAGACTAATTTATGTAGGTCAAATATGGACCTATAGCTCTAAAGTACCTGGGCCTACAACAGGGTTAAAAGAACTTACTGTAAGTTTGTTTGACTCTCTAATCAACTTCAAAATGGCATAGGTACCATTTAATGAAGATAATGAAGAGCTGGGAATGTCATACAATCACTCTGTTACTGAACGATTAAACAGACTATGTAGCTCATAACCTACAGAGGAAACATAAATGTACCACATGAATTGGTACAGTTCATGTAGCTAAAATCTTTTTAGCTCTTTATGAATACATCCAGGATTCAATAGCTTGCAGAACCATCTTTAGCAGCAATGACTTAAGCAATTGTTTTCAGTCTCTATCAGTTTCTCACATAGTTGTGGTGGGATTTTGGCCCACTCTTCTTCACAGTGTTGTTTCAGTTTATCGAGGCTCGCGGTCATATTCGTTTATACACAGCTCTCGTAAACTCTTTTGTCCAAGCTTTAGTTGTCAAACAGATGGCCTCACATTTCATTCTAGCATACATTGGTATACACAGGAGTTCACGATTGACTCCTGTGGCGGCAAAACAAGCCCGAATCTCCACCCAACCACCACTACCGTGCTTGACAGTTGGTATGAGGTGTTTCTCTGAATGTGCCGTTTAGTTTTTGCCAAATGTGGTGCTGTGCATTATGGCCAAATAGCTCTACTTTGTTTTCATCTGCCCAAAGGACAATCCTCCAGAAATCTGGTAGTTTTTTAGGATACAATTTATAAACTTAAACCATGCTGCTGTTGGCAGGCTTCCTAAACAAGCCTGTAGACCACAGGTGTCAAACTCCAGGCCTTGAGGGATTTTAAATGTGTCCTTGATACAACACAGCTGATTTCAATGGCTAAATGACCTCCTCAACATGTCTTGAAGTTCTCCAGAAGCCTGGTAATGACCTAATCATTTGATTCACGTGTGTTGACCCTGGGTGAGATCTAAAACCTGCAGGACACCGGCCCTTGAGGCCTGGAGTTCAAGTTGTACATCTAAGGTTTGAACCTGCAGTGAGCTTGCTGAGATGTGCACTCCTGGAAAGATCGTGAAATTGTGTAAACACACCAAATGTCCCAAATCAGCAAAAATATTAACACAACTGTTGTTTTTATAGAGGTGCTCACTCTTGCTGATGATCAGTTATTTAAGTGCAATTATTATTTAAGTATCAGCGACTGGCTGCCAATTACCCTTTTAATTCCCATGGAAGCAACAACAGCACCTTGTTTTACCGTAGGACTGCAAACAGTTCTGTCAAGGTTTTATTTTTCATGACTGCACAAATAGATAGTAAATTATCCTTTGAACAACATGTAAATAAGTTGAGCACCAGATAGATTCCTGTCCATAAAAACTTGTTTGGACAAACTTGAATCTTGTGGGACGACAGGGGATCAGCAGAGAACAACTAGCCTAGCTAAGCTTGGTCACATTGCCCCCCCAAAAAAATACCATGTACCCTGTAAAAGTCTAGAATTTGCTCTTGTTTGTGCCTCTTTTGCACTTATTTACATTTCAGTCATAGAAAAAAAAAATTAGTTTCTCTAAAAGAAAACAAACCAGCAATAAACTCTAAAGAAAAAATGTAACCCCATTTGACTCTTTAACTCCTCCAACCTTCTAAATGCAACACCCTGTCTGCAAAACCATTAAACAAAAAGTTTGATAAACTGCACGTCTGTTTTATGATCAAAAACATAAATGACAGCCCGTCAGTTTCCTGGATAACAAACAGGTTATAAATCTGTTATGCAACAATGGACAGCTAGTGTGTGCACACACATCCAGACCAACGTGTAAGTGATTTCTGCAGCTGTCTCAACTCAGACTTTTGATTAAAGAGCACAGGAGGCTCATAAAATCAGCCAGGAAAGGTGAAGTTTTCATTCCTGTATAAACAAACACCTGTACTCACTTGGGAGGCACCCTTTTAAAATGGCTCTACTGCGGGAAAAAAGAAAAGAAAAGTTGAAACATGACTAGGCGGGTGGGAAGTTAGCCTGAATGTGATCCAGTAACAAACTCTGAATTGCCCTGGCACAAAATGTACAGTCTCCGTAATCATGTAGGCTCCAGCAGGAGCTTGTTACACTCTGTTGATTCTGGATTAAGATCAATTTAGAGTATAAGAAAAAAAAAATAAAACAAATAAATCACTGTATAGCTTAATTATAAGTTACAGCTTACATAACTTTACTCCTCAGCAATAAAACCTCAAAAAACATAAACAAGACAGACAAGCTGGCAAATTTGATCAGGATTGCACAGATTTAATTGTAGATTCCAGTACCATCAATCATTAAACACACACTGTCTAAAATACAGCACAAGTATA